AAATTGACTTTTGACTCAAAATAACGCACATGCGTGTATTTGAAATAACGCGCAGGTGTTCAAAATAACGTGCAGGTGTGCGTTATTTTGCGGGTTTACGGTATGTCCCAAAAAACTCTTCCCAAACCCTAATTTTAACCATAAAAATTAACCCTAATGTGAAAAAATTTGCGTTAAAAATTTTGTATAAAAAATTTAGAAAATTTAAAGAACATAATAAAATATATAATAGGTGCAAAACCACCATAGGTGCGTTTTATAATAAATGATAAATTTTTATTTTAAAAAATAAAAAATTATTTGAGTCAAATTATTTAAATTAAAAACCTAATTCGACAACTCTTTTTAGAGTTACTTTGATCAGCTAAAATTTAAAATTCATATTTTGTACAATAAATTTGACAAAATTGCTAAAAAACAACATTTCAATTAATTTCAATTGATCAAAATGATGCACAACACCTCATTACATTGAGAGAGATGCTTGAGAACAGTCTTTATGAACTATTTTATAAAAATTTTTACATCAATTTAGATCGAGAGATATAGAATTTGGCTTAATACTGCATAATAATTGTTGGGGATGATGCTGAAATTGGCTGAAGCTGAAAATTTGGGGTCTCAATTTAGAACCATAAAACTACTAAAACCCACTTATACTTGTTTATTATAAATTCTACCCATAAAGCTGACCCCTAACTTTAAAAAAAGTCAAAAAAATGTACCCAAAAATTTTTAAATTTTCATAATGAAATAGGTCAAATTTTCTGCTTTAGCCAATTTCAGCTTTAGCCACCAAAATAATTTTTAGTTGAACATATAGTATCGGTATTTGAATTATATATAAATGCCGACGTTGATTTGAGTTAATTATGATTTAACATTTAATAGGTAAAAAAACAACTCGATTTTTTTTTGATAAAGTGGATTTACACTATTAGTAGTAGATCGCAGTTGAAGGATATAAATTTCATAGTAAAAATCGGTGGAGAATAGCAGTTTTTGGCAAACTATAAAAAGTATATAGTTATGAGGATGAAATGCGATCTACTAAACCAATTCTATAATTCTGCCACTATTAGAACCGGAATAACTTGCTCTATAATATTTGTTAGAAACTCAAAGAAAGTTTACTTGGCATAAAAAACTTTTAATTGTAAGCTATCTGCATTCCAACCCTATTGAAAACCTATATTAACTTCTGACAATTTCTACTATTAAATTTGCTATTTTTTATACCATTTAACCGCAATTTACCTCTTAAATTATTTACTCTTATGTAAAAATTTTAATTTTCAGAATGTATCCAATATGAAACATTCCCTTCCTCATTTAAATAGTTTAATTTATACATTTTTTAACATCTCAACCTTACCATTTTCCATATAGGCATTTTTTCGTATTTTGTTTTTTTTTTCTTCGATTGATTACATATCAGAGCCAAAGATTGATTTATAAAGGTATGAAATAAAATAACACCATTTTTGCCTTTTATAACTCATATGTTGATTGTATGTTCTTAAAATTGATACGAGGATAAGAAAATTTCGTGTTACACAAGCATTGAATACGTTATAAATAGAATTAGAGTAAATGATATAACTTAAAAATGTTTGGATTAACAAATAGGCCAATTTTCAATATTCACAAAAAATACCACTTGTATTCAACATTTTTGCATCATAATCATCATCAATTCAGATATTCTCAACAAAGCGAAAATGGTCAATCTAAATATAATGGCTATTGGAATTTACAATTGCAACAGGTTGGAAACTTAAAATAAAAGAATGTTTATCGTTAAACATAAATATATTTGACAGCATTACCATTGTATAGCCTGCACCCTCATCATATTTACAAAATCATTCGTACGAAGAACATCATAATACTGATATCGATATAGCATCAACAGCAATAAATACAAATTCACCAGAGGAAATCCAACCGGTAATGACAATTGATGGAGAATTGATACCTCTAAAGCCTGTTTTTCCTGATAATTGTTGCATGAGGTAAAATATTATGAAAAACGGTGTGCTTAGAAACTCACTTTACTAATGTACTATCTGATAACGGTTCGAATTGATAATCATTAGCGGTTGCGCTCATTGGTATGCTATATTTAAGAAATATTAAACATTTTATTTATTAAAATGCAAACATAATTATATTTTAATGTTATGATTAAGTGTTTTAGACATATATCAGGATGACTTAAAAGAATGGAAAGAAAAGACTACTCAAATAAGAGAACGATTATTGAAAGAGGGCAAACCATTGCCACCAATCCTAATGCAATTTAATAATGATAATACAGAAGAGGATGATATTGATCCTGGAATGAAAGCATTTCTGGAGTTGGAAAAAAAATTGGCAGGAACTTCATCTTAGAGATAATCATGAGTGCATTTATTATAAAATCATTGCTTTTAACGTAAATGTGTTATGCGTTGTGTAATATAAAAGGTGGAAAACACATTATACAGTCAGGCCTCTCTAAATCATAGCCGAGGGGCGGCCAAAAATCTTGCATTTGGAGAGGCATTGCATTTAGGAAGGTAAAAATCTTTGTGTTATATGAGTTGGGGCCAAATAAGGCTATGCATTTATAGAGGTCTTTCGTAGACTATGCATGCATTTAGGGAAGTCTGAATGTATTTACTGACAAGGATAAAATTGCGCAAACGTTATATCTGCATAACTTGTAATTTTCAAATTTCTAATTGATTATATCAAACTGTAAGCTCGAGAACATGAGCTAATCACACCGACCATCTTTTGGACCATCTCTCCATCTTTCATCAATTTTACTACAATCAAAAATATCTTTACCTAATGTTTCGTTCACTATATTATGCATTTCACATAACCAATTTCCTAACGCCCAACGGCTTTCAACTTTTGGAGGTTTTGATTTCATTTCTTCTCTTAAATGTTCAGCACAAATATTACAAGGATAAAATTGTGAAAAAGCGGATAAGAAAGTTTTCATTGAACGCTGTTGTGCGTAGGATGGGACTTCTGGATAATAGGCAGCCATTGTATGCAAGAATGTCCAAGTAGATCGACCAAGTTGTTCCACATCAGGTGGACAATCCGGAGGCAACGTTGGAGTAGAAGAGTTGGCATCATCTTTGGTAGAGTTTGTTTCATTCATGTTACCATTTGTGATGGTAGAAACACGCTGTTTTTTTTTTTCTTGCTTTGTCCAATCTTTGAACGCAGTACATACTTTACATGGTTGTTCCATTTTTTTTAGGGCTTAGATGTCACTGATTACCTAACTCATATAAAACTGTTTCACTAACCTGTAATAGTATTAGCGATCACATTTTGTATTACCTTTTACTCCAATAAATTTCGGCCGGGTGTTATCGTTAGATTAGCGATCACGGGGTAGGGTTCCTGTAAAGGTGTCATAATTAGTTACGACCTATTTTAAAACAGATTATTTTTTTATTGAGGTAATTAGGTTACGACCTAATTACGACAATATGTCCGCACCCCTAGGAATGAGTGCCGTCGATGTAAAACGATTTTACCTGCTTGTATATTAATAATAAAACAGATTCATCGATAGAACCTCTAATGAAAGCCATACAAAAAAGGTGTTAAGTACTCATTGTCTTGTAATTTTGTCTAAAGATTACACGTTTTATTGGAAGACAGTTTTGATTTAAATTTATTACAAAAGAAATATAAGAATTTGAACATGAGGATAGTTAACAGAATGGTGTATCGATTATTCGATAAAAATTGTGCTCGAAATTAAAGCATCTTATCATGTATTATTCCTGTACACTGATTTATGGGATTTTATTTGGATAAAGGTTATGCTGACTACAAAGACCATGGTCCGGACCGGTCCTTTGGGCCAACGGGTTTTTGGTCCTAGACACCTACTATGTTCTAATTTCGGTTTTTAAACCCGACAATCAAAATTAAACAATGCAAGACCTCAACAAAGTACAAGATTCAATAAAGCACAAGTTGACAAAGCATAATCTAATAAAGCATAACTTGACAAAGCGCAATTTGATAAAGCAAAACTCGTACAAAAAAAAAAGTATTAATTTTACTCAAACAAAAAAATTTAAACTATACAAAAAAGTATCTATCACATTTTTAGTTCAAGTCTAGTCTTATTTTTAAATCTAATAAATAAAATAATAATTTTATTGAAAAAAAAGATTATAGCATCTACTGCATTCTAGCTTAAGTCTAGAAACAGTGATTTTATATAGTGACAAATCAAAACATGTAGTAGCAAAATTATGATATATATGATATAAAACATATTTGCTAAATTATATATAATTTTGTGGTAGAAAGTAGTAGGCCTCAGTTTATACATATCAACTGAAGTTTAGGTTAGCCAAATTGTAAATACAGAAGGCTCTAACAGGTTTATCTTGAAGATAAATATGTTTTAAGTTGGTGTCTAAAAATAAAAGAGTATATACTGTAGTATTCTTGCTTAGTTAATAGAATAACATATATATATAAATACAGAAGGTTTAAATAAATAAACCTAGTCAGATTATAGATATAGCATCTAGTATAAAACTTAACAATAAGTGAACTACTTAAATAAATAACCAAAAGTTATACATGTAGCTAGTATTCCTATGAACTGAACTGAACTAAACTTTTGGTCAAGTTCAAGTTCAGTTCAAAATTGAACTGAACTTGAACTTGAA